GTATTTCATGATGCCCAACTTTATTTTTAAAAGCCACATAAGCTTGCTTTACTGTAAAAGTCTTCAAGGTAACTAAAATAGGGAGACTTAATCAACTAATTATGGTCTATCATATCTTATCATCTGGTTAGAGGGCAGTCCAATTCTACCCCAGCAGCATAAAAGAGTATTCATTTGGAATCCAAGGAGTCTCTTGCTTTCATATTCAACCTCCACCTTGAAAGGAACACTAGGACTCTTGACTAAATTATATGCTCTCAAATACAAAGTTTAACATAATACATGTTTGGTACATGAATCACAAAGACACAATAATCATCTTAAAAGTAAAAGCATCATCTGGTACCAGGAAACTGTTCACTGAAAGCCCAGCACAGTAAAGGAATAAGGAATCAAATACACCAACTGCTCCTGACAGTGCTACTAAGAGTAAGGACCAATATGCTAATTTTATTTCTAACAGGTGTTTGACTTTTACCCTTCATTTTAATTTTGCTCTTGAGTTTTCTACTACTAACATAATAAAAGAAGACCCTGATCCCAAACAGCTGTGGAGGTAGACACTAGGCTTTATTTAAACAAAACAAAAACACCTGGTTCAGCTATACCCCGTCCTCAGTTAAGTTCAAGTCTTTAAACTCCAAAACTGTAGTTTTAGGAATCCAACTCACCACGGTGCTGATCTTCTTCTTCCCATCAGTAGCTCTTAACAGACACTTGTTGTCTGAGGGCTCAAAGCCCTCCACAGAACCTTTCCTTGGAATGGGTTTAGTCCGACCATCATCTGCATGAAAAATACATCCTAGTGAACATGACCACAGTCGCTGTTAGCAGGTAGACAAAAAGTTAATTAGTAGGGAAGGGATACACAGGATACCTAATCCACCTCCACTGATCCAGTTCTGTGAACTACATCATTGCTATCACCGACGGCTTGGCCACACCTTGGAAAACTACTTGCTTTGCTACTTCCACGATGGGAACATTGTAATATCAAAGCAGCTTAAATCTCACTAATCGTAGCGAGGTTTGGGATCCTTGACAAAAAGAAGGGCCCTAACATGCCTGGGGCCCTCTGGAACCGGAATCGGTCTAAGTGGTTCAGTGCTGGGGGCCGCCAACAGCCAGTCCCTAATACTTCGTTCGGTCCCTCAGCCCTGAACATGCCCAGTACGAACATGCCCAGTACAAGATGGAGGGAGGCAGGGGAAGGCTGGGCTGCGCGGCAGACAGACTGCCTGTGGCTCCCAGTCACTAGGCACCCGCGCGGCCTCCCAGCTCTCTTCCGGCGTCCACAGCTGCTTACACTTCTTCAAGGTGATGAACACGCTGCCCGACAACCGGCATTTCTGGAACAGCCTGGTCAGCTCCGTCAGGAACTGGAATACAACAAGCCCGGCCCCGTTAGGCAACCCAAATCCCCGTCCTGCCTCGTCACGTCCCAGTCCCTCCCGCAGGGGACAGGTCCCGAGCTAAGCCCTGAACTACATCAGTCCCCCGGCCGGCCAGCTCTGGCGTTACCTGCTCACTCTCCAGCAGCACCATCCCGGCGCTGCTGGCTCCGCTCCGTCAGCATAAGGCCCAAGCGTTTGGAGCCGGAAGTTTCACCCCGGTTGGGCGGGGCTTCCGCTATTAGGTTGCACCTCTCTTCCACCCAATCGCTGCTTCCGCCCTCTCCCCGCCCCATCCGCCCCGCGCCTGCGCTCTAAGACGCCCCCGTCCCTGGAGAGCTATGAGGCGTAGTGCCCTTGGGCTTCCCGGGATTTCATTATGAAGAGATCCTCTCCCCCAGGCAGTGGGAGGGAGTGAGAGCGGGGAGAATGTGATAGAAATCTACGGTTGTGTATATTCGGCTGTATGCTGGCCACATTACCTAACAGTTTGGCGCTTCAGTTTCCTCAACCTGTAATAATAGTATCCACTTCACAGTGTGGTTGTGAAGGGTGAGCGAATTTGCGTTAAACACCTACAACATGATACGAGGTATCATACCGCAGATCACTGCCTGTTCATCAACATTTTAAAAGCACAAACGAGGTTTCTAAATGGAAATTTTAAATGGTTTAGCATTGTTTATGATTTTTCTCTAATTTACTGGTCAGACCTCTTATTTCAGAAAGGTAAATAGATGTTAACATTGTTGCTTCCTTTAATCTTGCGGTTTTCTCTTTATTTTTGGATTTTTAATCAGTATTCTGATAAACTGCTGCTGAATTCTGATAAATGACTGGCACAATTTTGAATAAGGTTATACAAAGGTATATATGTTCCACTGGGTTAAATTTTTCATGAAACTTTAAATTACTGAATTTCTTTTCAGTTGCATGTGGTCTTTTGATTGCACATTGTACAAGGATAGTTTTAGTTAAATATATTATGTTGTACACCAGAAATTGACCCAACATTGTAAATTGACTATACTTCAATAAAAAAATAAAATAAACGTGATAAATGAAACAAAAAATAAATAAACACCTACAACAGCGCTTGGCCCATAGAAGGTGCTCAATAAGCATTAGCTTTTGTGGCTTTCATTATCATTGTCATCATAATACATTTCGGTGGTCTGCTGAACTCTCCCTCTTCTTTGACTCCCTCTGGCAGCAAAGGCTGACCCCAGCTCTAGCACAAGGGCCTGGAGCTGGGAATTAGTTTCACCTCTGGGTTCAGTCAGGAGCCCTGGGGTCTAGGCCTGGCTCTGCCAGTAGCCACCTTGAACCTTAGGCCTCGGTGGAGTCAAGCATGAAATCGTGTAACGAGCTTTCACTGAGGGCCTCTTAGCCTGTGCCAGGACTGTTGTAGGCGCTGGGGGTACAGGAGGATACAAGATAAGTTCCTGATTTCCTGAATCTTGGGTTAAAGGAGTAGGGAGGAAATAAACAAGAAAGTGTAGCTTCAGATAATGAGTGCCTATGAAGACAACTAAACAGGATGATACAAATGAGAGGAGAGGACTACTTTAGGATGGGGTCAGGGAAATCTCTCCCAGGAGAACTCTGAGCTGAAAGCTAAAGGGACCAGCCTTTCAAAGATCTGGGGACAGAGTGTTTCAGACACAGGGAATGGCTAGAACAAAGACCCCAAAGGGGAAGCAAGTTGCCCTGTGTCCACAAAGCTGCTGGGTAGGGGTGGAGGGTGGGGTAAGAGCGGAGAGGTTGTGTGGAAGGAGGGGTGAAGAAGTACGGAGAGCTTGGAGAGGTGGCTGGTTGACCCACTGATATAGGGCCTATAAATTTGGATTTTGTTCCAAATACAAAGAAAAGGTACTTGTTAAGGAAGTTTTGAAAAGAACAGTGACAATCAAATTTACATTTTTAAAAGATCCCCCTGTCTGTGGTGTGAAGGTACTGCAGAGAGACAAAGCAAGAAGCAGGGGGACCAATTAGAGGGTTGTCTTAGCTTCCTATTGCTGCTAAACAAA